TATGATTAAATCGTATAGCTGGAAAACATTGCAAACAAGTAAAATTAATATATGAAAACCAGTTATTTTCTTATGTACAATGAAAGTTATTTTAAGATATAAAGTAATAAAAGTGTGTGTGTTATCGTAACAAAATGATAAAATGTAATAGGAATAAACTTAAGAAATTTTTGAGATAGAGGCACATTAAAAGAATACAGAGGAATACAACAAGATTTGTATAAATCTAATGATATATTTACCATGTTCTTGGATTAAAAGATTAAGTATTTTAATGGCAGCAGATCTCCCTATATCTACACATTAATATTATACCATTGAAATCAACACACAAATAATTTATAGAATAAATAACAATGTACGTAGAAACAGATAATTTCTGAAGTGAGATTAGTCCTACAAGGTACTAAATGCTACATTAATTAATGTAAAATTTTACTGGTCCCTAAAAACAAAACAATGTAACAAAGAGTTGAGTTGCATACCAAAATCCTCATGGTAATATGGCTTATTATGAAAGAAGCATTTCCAATTCGACATTAAACAAAAAGACTTATTTAATAACTAATGCTGGACAATTGCCTTGCCTAATAGAAAATTAACAAATTCATTTCTGCCCTAGCCGTTTTGCCAAGAAGAAGTCCAATCGGGCTAGAGATTTAAACAAAGGTACTCTAAAGGTAGTAAATTATGTGAGAATTTAAAGATTAATTTTAAAATGAGAGGAGCCTTTCCAAACATGGCACAAAACTTAGAAGCCATAAAAGTGATAAATATGTTTACATAAAAATTAAACATTTTCTGCATAATAATAGAATACTAGGAATAAGATAGCATTGACAAACTGGAAAGAACATTCGTAATATACTATATTTCATAAAGGACTACTTTATTAATATATTTAGGGTTTTTAGGAATTAGAGAAAATATTTTAAAACCAGTAGGAAAATAGGGAGAGGACATAAGCAGGCAGTTTGTAGAAAAATAAATTCAAACATTTAATGTATTGAAATTGAATGAAACGAGGACATTGTCAGCCTTTCCAATGACCAAAGAAATGTTCATTAAAATAGCGATAATATATAATTTAAACTTATCAGATAGATACATATTAAAATATTTATGCATGTATGATTATCATCACACATTCTCTCTCTAGGGTAAGTCATTCTAAGATGTTAACAATATTTGCCTCTAGGGAGGGCAACCAGAGGATGAGGGTAAGATAAATATGTACTTTTTACAGCATAACTACAGTGTATGTTTAAAATTTTTAACCATGTGTCTATCACTTTTACAGATTAAAATAATTACTTAAAAATATTAGTTGAAGCCAGAACAGTTAAATAGATTACTTAATGTCAGCACAATTAATAAATAACAGATACATCATTCAAGCCCAGGGCTATATTATTTGGACAAAAGTACATAAATAGATTGTTGACATTAATTTGCATAATTGTTTCTAAACTTTTTGTTACTAAATCCAACACAACAAGGATACTGCGAATAAGGGCTACCTCTCCAGGAAGAGCCCTGTGAACTCACTTGTTGGGAAGTTGATATTTTTAGTCTGCACTATTTTCTTTACTAATAGAGATAGCAACTTGTGGTGACACTTTCACAATCATCTCTAGTAAATCTGAGGGGGGTTGAGTGTTTTATTTATTTACTTATTTTTTGCAGGTTTTTTTTTGGCTAGGGCTTTGAACCCACCACCTCCAGTGTATGGGGCCAGCGCCCTACTCCTTTGAGCCACAGGTGCTGCCCTGTGTGTTTTTTTTAAACTTCAGAATATTATGGGGGTATAAATGGAATGGTTATATCAATTGCTTTTGTACATTTTGAGCCAGACTTATAAGTGTGCCTCTCAACCAAACAGTGTGCATTGTACCTCTCTGATTCCCCCTCCCACCTACTGGCTTTCTGTTGAGTTTTACTACCAAATATGCACGTGGGTGTTGATCAATTAGTTTCAATTTAATAGTGAATACATGAAGTGTTTATTTTTTCTTTTGCTTTTTTTTTTTCTTAAAGACAAAGTCTCGGCTCGGTGCCTGTGGCTCAAGCGGCTAAGGCGCCAGCCACATACACCTAAGGCGGCGGGTTCGAATCCCCAGCCCGGGCCTCCAAACAACAATGATGGCTGCAACCAAAAAATGGCCAGGGGCTGAGGCAGGAGACTCGCTTGAGCCCAGGAGTTGGAGGTTGCTGTGAGCGTGATGCCATGGCATTCTACCCAGGGGGATAGCTTGAGGCTCTGTCTCAAAAAAAAAAAGACAAAGTCTCACTGTGTCACCCTCAATAGAATGCTGTCATGTCACAGCTCACAGCAACTGCCAGTTCTCGGGCTTAAGTGATTCTCTTGCCTCAGCCTCCCAAGTAGCTGGGACTACAGCTACACCTGGCTATTTTTTTGTTGCAGTTTTTGGTTGGGGCTGGTTCGAACCGCCACCCTTGGTCTATGGGGCTGGCGCCTTACTCACTGAGCCACAGGTGCCGCCCATGTTTATTTTTTTTATTCCTGTGAAACTTCACTTAGAAGACTGGTCTCCAATTCTACCCAGGTTGTTACAAAAGATATTAATCGACCTCTTTTTCATGGCTGTGTAGTACTCCATGGTACACATGTACCACATTTTATTAATCCACTCATGTATTGATGGGCACTTGGGTTAGTTCCACATCTTTTTAAAGCTTTTTTTTTATAAAGCTTTCTTTTCATTGTAAAATTAGTGCTCTGTGTGTGAATAACTGTAATCATTATCCATTTTGCTAAATGCCATCACTTTGCACCATTAAATTGCAAAACCTAAATAGAGAATAAAAATACATCTTGGTGTTTTGTTTGGCTGAAGTGAACTAAAGAACTCAAGGAATTTATCTCTGGAACATTATAGAGCACCTCTCTGGGAACTGAACCAGAGAATTTACTTTTCTTTTCTTTCTTTCTTTCTTCTTTTAAATCACAGAATCCACTTACTGAAATTGTGCCTCACAGAGCATTGACCTTTAGACTATAATGGCTTCCTCGGGGCCATTACAACTTACAGGGCAAATACCTTCCAGTCTTTCAACCTACAAGTAAAGGTTACAAGTTTTAGAGCACAAAGTACATAACTCTTTACTTGTAAATTCACTTTCCGCACTGAAATCCAAAACCATTAGCCCACTTTGAGGACTTTTAGGGTATGAAATGACATTTTTAAAAATCGAATTTATCTTTGAGTAGAAAGGGGGCTTTTTAAAAAGTACGATATCCTAGGATAATAGATTTGACTGAAACCTTAAAGGCCACCAAGTAAAACCTCCTGCTCTGATCAGGATTCCCAGTTTGTCTTCTAACTGAACATGTAGGGAGAGAGGACTGGAGGACTAAGTTTTATTTGGTGTAATTTATCTTTCTCTGTAAAAATGTACATCAACATTCAAAGTAATTATCAAAGTAGTGAGATGACCACTTGTCTTTTTCTTTTGCTTATATTTTCTAAAGTTTAAGTCAACCTATGTGAAGTATGGTTTTTATTTATTTTTATCATTGGGGATTCATTGAGGCTACAAAGAACCAGGTTACACTGATTGCATTTGTTAGGTAAAGTCCCTCTTATAATTGCGCCCCACTTAAATACAATATCAATTGTAAAATTTAGAAACTACAAATGCAAACAAGGATGAAAAATAGAATCACCATATAAAGTTTGGTGTTTATCCTATCATTAAAGATTCTATTGTATAACATAGAAACACCTATATTGTGACTAGGTTAATCAGCAAGTACTTTAAAAACTGCCCATGGCAGTGCCATAAAAAGGATATGAGGTTTTTCTCTCTCATGTTAAAATCCAGATATAGGGAGTCTAGAGCTGGATAGCAATTCTGTTCCATTAAGTCCTCAGGAAATTCGGTTCTTTTCACCTTCTGGGTCCTCTGTATGCGGCTCCATTCCTAAGGTCTGTTAATGATCCGAAATAGAAGCTCCAGCCATCACTCACATTCTAGTCAGAGTCAAGGAAGGGACAGAAAGGAACATGGCTTGTCCTTTTAAGAATTCCTAAGGTTAATTATGCCACTTCCTTTTAACAGTCACATGACACCACATTCTTTCGCAAGGCAGTCTGGGAAATAGATTGTTTTTGGCCAGGAGATGGCATGGTCAACTGAAAATCCTATGTTCAGTTTTCTGCTTGCTAAATTCTTCTCTCAGTGGTGCACAACCTCATACTGCTCCTTAAAGTGGGGAAAAATTTTTGAGCCTTTATCTCTGTTCTGCCCTGATTTATAAAATCATTATAAAATCAAAACTATAGCCTAAAGACAAAAGTTTAGATACAATGGAAAAAAAATTCAGAATAATGAATTATCAAAATGGATTCAAAATGAAATAGAAAATAATAACTTCTAAAGTGTTCATCATTGCCTATCTATCACCAGTATTCCTACATCCAAGAAAAGTTGTTCAGTCTAATCATGTCATTTTACCAAACTCTCAGATTTTCACTAATCCTATTTCTAACAAATTGTCTCAGAGACTAGAAAAAGAGGAAAGTTACTTAACTTGTTTTATGAGGCTAATAAAACCTCTATACTTGATCTTGTTAAAGAGAGCATAACAAAATAAAATCAGAGAGGAAAGGCAGTTATGAATTTGGCTTAAGCTAAAAGGCAGTGATAAATTTAGCTTTAGCTTATGCAGAAAAAAATTGTGAGGATTTTTACTGGATCTATATTGAATGTATAGGTTAATCTGAGTGGGTTTCTCTTTATGTCTAAGGAAGAGAAGTACTGACAGTTTCAATTTTGGTTTGAAGATTTTTCTCATTCAATTTTTTTCTTCTTTAGTATTTTAGAAGTTAACGATTCTGTTTCTATTCATTCAATATTTACACTTGCAGTTTTAACATAGATAAACGAAGTCTAATCCCAATGAATGTAACAGTACAAAAACCCAAGGATGCTTTCTCTATGACCACCTCCCTCCACGTCAATGAATGATTCTTGCGGTCCCTTCTGCAGCACCTGTACTCAAATTGGAATGATACGATGAAGATTAGCATGGCCCCAGAGCAAGGACGTCATCCAATTCCTGAAGTGTTCCAGTGAAAATATAAATAGTGTTGCCAAAAACTGTAGGGTCTATTTCACCATAAACCAGATGCAATTATTTGTAATGGTCATTAGTTTTATAAACATAACATATTTCTTAGGATATCTGTACCTCAGATTTTCATTTGATATCTTTTTTTCCTGCTTGAAACATATTCTTTAGATTTTCTTTTGTTGCCAGCCTGTTAGTGGTAAATTCTCTCAGGGAGTATCTTTCATTAAGAAGTATCTTCAATTTCTCCATCTTATTGAGAAGACAGTTTGGTCCGGATGCAGTTTTAGGTTGAATGTTGATTCTTTCAACACACTTAATGCTATTCTGCCATGGTTCGCTTCTACACTTATTTCTGAGACCTCTCTGATAAAATGCTGTTTGTGTATGTGATCTGTCTTTTCTCTCAGGCTTTTTTCATACCGTATTAATCATCTTTTGTTTGTTTGAAAATATTAAACATATTCATCTTATATTCTGTTTGATAATGCTAACATCTTAAATCTTTCTGCATCTACTCTGTTTTTTGATGAGATTTTACCCATTCTTGAGTGGATTGTCATTTTTACCACAAGTGACATATTTTCCTTTGAACATTGAGTGATAATTCTTTGAACTGGGGTTGAAATTGGGTTCCTCAAAAGAGGATCTGCATACTATTCTTACATATCATCCTAAATTTCAGTTCTTAGCTGTGGTTGAAATTTTTCTTTTTCTTTTTCTTCTTTTTTTTTTTGCAGAGACAGAGTCTCACTTTTTCACCCTTGGTAGAGTGCTGTGGTGTCACACAGCTCACGGCAACCTCCAAATCTTGGGCTTAGGTGATTCTCTTGCCTCAACCTCCTGAGTAGCTTGTGGTTGGAATTTTTTGTCGTTTTGGTTACAGCTTGCTGGTTATTTGTTATTGTATTGCTTTATTTATTTGGGTGTTTTTCATCTGGACTATATATCTTCTTATAACATAAATTCACAATAAAAATCAAAGTAAGGCAGACTGTTGCTGGAAATTCTCAAGAAAGATTATTTTTCCCTCTCCACTCAATGCCAAGATGGGCATTTTTGGCCCCCTCCATACTTCTTTCCACAGAGGTTATGTTAGTTTGCAATCTCATCAGTGCTCCCTTCTCCCCACATCCATGCCAGCATCTGCAACTCTGGGACTTTGTGATGTGGGCTATTCTCATTGGGGTTAAGTGATATTTCAGGGTGGTTTTGATTTACATTTATCTGATGATTAGAGTCGATGAGCATTTTTTCATGTGTTTGTGGCCATTTGTCTGTCATCTTCAGAGAATTTTCTGTTCAAGTCTCTTGCCCACTAATAAATGAGATTGTCTGCTGTTTTCTGGTTGGTCAGTTTGAGTTCTCTGTAGACTCTAGTTATTAGCCCTTTATCACATTTGTAGCATACAAATAAATATTTTCTCCCATTGTGAAGGCTGTTTGCTTTAGTTATTGAGCCTTAGCTGTGCAGAAGCTTTTTAACTTGATCTTGTCCCATTATGTATTTCTGGCATTGCTTCAATTGCCACTGGGGTCTTCTTCATAAAATCTTTCCCCAGGCTGATATTGTCAAGAGTTTTCCCCATTCCTTTTTCTAGAGTTTTTATTGTTTTGTGTCTTAAATTTAAATCTTTTATCAGCATGAGTCAATTTTTGTAAATGTTGAGAGCTGTGGGTCCAGTTTCAGTCTTCTGAGGTGGCTAACCAGTTCTCTCAGCTCCATTTATTGAATAGGAATTCTTTTCCTCATTGTACGCTTTTGTTTGTTTTATTGAAGATCAGGCAATATATGGTGGCTTTTATCTCTGGGATCTCTATTCTTTTCCATAGATCCATGTTACAGTACCATGCTTTTCTGATCACTATACTCTTGTAGTATAACCTGAAGTTTGGTAACGTTATGCCTCCAGATTTGTTTTTATTTTTTAGAATTGTGTTGGATATTCAAGTTGTTTTCTGGTTCCAGGGGTAATGAAGTATTATCTTTTCCAGTTCAAAGAATGATGTTGGTACTTTAATAGGGATTACATTATAGCAGTAGATCGCTTTGGGTAGTATGGACGTTTTTACGATGTTGATCCTTCCTAGCCTTGAGCATGGTGTGTTCTTTCATTTGTTAATGTCTCCTACTATTTCCTGCCTTTGTTAGATATATTCTCAGGCATTTTTTTTTTTTTTTGAAGCTACTGTGAAGAGCATTGTTTCTTTGTTTTTATTCTTAGTTTGACTGTTATTGGTATATATGAAGGCTACTAATTTGTGGACATTAATTTTACATCCCAGACATTACTGTATTTCCTTATCACTTCCAGGAGACTTGTGGGGTTTTGCTGATGATACTATATACTTAGCGTCAGCAAAGAGTGAGAGTTTGACCTCCCCGGACCCCATTTGAATTCCCTTGATATCCCTCTCTCACCTGGATATTCTTGTCTGGTTCCAGTTCTGAGAAGAAATAAGTTTTACTCCATTCAGTATGATATTGGCTGTGGGTCTTCTGTAGATGGCTTCTATCAGGTTCAGAAATGTATGTCCCAGCTATGTCTATTTTTTGTAATTGTTCTTGTCAGAAAAGGATGTGGATTTTATCAAATGCTTTTTCTGCATCTATCAAGAGAATCATATGGTCTTTATTTTTCTTCTCTTTATGTAGTGAATTATATTTACGGATTCACATATGCTAAATCAGCCTTGCATCTGGGGGATAAAGGCCACCTGATAATGATGTACAAATTTTTTTTTAATGTGTAGCTGGATTCTGTTTGCTAGGATTTTATTGAATATTTTTGCATCAATGTTCATTAATGATATTGGTCTGTAGTTTTCTTTTTTTATTGAATCCTTTCCTAGTTTTGGTATCAGGGTGATATTTGCTTTATAGAAGACGTTGGGGAGGCTTTTTTCCTTCTCTATATTTTGGAATATGTTCAGAAATATAGGCATGAGCTCTTCTTTGAAGGTTTGGTAGAATTCTGGTGTAAAACCTTCTGATCTAGGACTTTTCTTTGTTGGAAACATTTTTATTGTTGTAATTTCAGTGCTTGGTATTGGTCTGTTCAACAATTCTAATTCTTTCTGTTTGACTTTAGGGAGGTGGTATGATTCCAGGAATTGCTCCATTTCCTCTTTTCAAATTTCAGAGTGTAGAGGTTTTTTTGTAGTATTCAGTGGAGATCTTTTGTATCTCTGTGGTGTATTTTGTTATTTCCCCTTTTTCATTCTGATTGATGTTATTAGAAATCTTACTTTTCTGTTTCTAGTTAATCTGGCCAAGGCTTTATCAATTTCATAATCTTTTCAAAGAATCAACTTTTTGTTTCACTGAATTCTGAATTGTTCTTATGTTCTCAATTTCATTTAATTTTGATCTATTATGTCTTTAAATCTTCTGCTTTAATTATTCTTGCTCTCTGTAAAGGATATAAATTATATGTATGTTTCATCTCCATTCTCTTCCTCATTATCAATCACATTTTTTTCATTTTCATTGTTTTTCTTTACTGTTTTATTAGAGCAGTTTAGGCTTGTCACGTTATTGCTGTCATAATTCTTGACAATTTCAATAACCAAACAGAAGATCCTTCTAGGTCTCTGAATTCTCAGTTTCTTACTCTATTCTCCTATTTTCTTCTATCTCAGCCATTTGTTCCCGTGATTGTATCTTAGACCTTGTCATTACTAATAACTGAAATTACTCCAGCATTTCAATTTCAATATTCCATTTTGATCATAACTTCCTAACTTTCTATCTTATTCCTTCTGGTATTCCAATTCTAATACTTCTTTGATTACTCTGGGTTCTACATGCCATTAGATCCTATGACCTTTTCACTGTCTCTCAAACCCAACCTTCCGCTCCAGAATCCTTAGTCCTTTCTTTGCTCAGCCTATGTTCCACAGCCTTGCATTAAAATCACTGTCTTGCATAAATCCTCAATTCTTTTGTTTCTCTCTGGCTTTGACAAACATCAATCCTGGTGAAATGCAATTATTTTTATATTCTATTCATACCTTTAGATAGTTAAATTTGGCCAGAGAAAAATACAGCCATATTGACTGGTCTAATTTTCAATTTATGATTATTTATTTTATTTATTTATTTTTTGAGACAGAGCCTCAAGCTGTCCCCCTGGGTAGAGTGCCATGGCATTACAGCTCACAGCAACCTCTAACTCCTGGGCTCAAGCGAGTCTCCTGCCTCCGCCTCCCAAGGCGCCCGCCACAACACCCGGCTATTTTTTGGTTGTAGCCATCATTGTTGTTTGGTGGGTCCGGGCTGGGGATTCGAACCCACCACCTTAGGTGTACGTGACTGGCGCCTTAGCCAGTTGAGCTATAGGCTCCGAGCCTCAATTTACGATTATTATCCTGAAGAATTTTTTGGGGGGTGCTACATGGAGATCATGTTACACTTCCCATAATCATTCTTTTATTACAATTTTACATTTTCTCCTTTTTCCTCAAACCTCCAGCCCATCCTTCCCCATCCTCCCCTCAATGACCTTGCTTCCTATCTCACAAAAAATAAAAGAAGCAATCATAATAGCTCTTTCAAACTCTCCTAATGCCACTCTACCCACTTCATTGCATCTAGATTTATCTGCTTTTCTATCATAAGTGAAGTTTGTTTGAAGGCCATCCTTTTACGTATCACTTCTTGTCTACTCTGCAGCATTTCTCTAACAACTGTTTTCTCTCTCTAGCCTTACCGTTTGTCCTCAACACTGCTGTATCATTGGAACCTTCCCACTCTTAATCAACTCTCTGGTTAGCAGTCAAAATATTGTAAATGTGAATCAGAACACTTCACTCAGCACCTTATAATCCTCCTATGGCTTTCATTTATTCTTGGGATAAAATCCAAACTCCTTAACCTAGTTTGCTAAGTCCTTTAAAATCTGGCCTCAAAGTACCCATTGAAACTTATCTGTACCATGTTCCCTCTGATTCACTATATTCCAGTTTTGTTGACTCCTCCAAAATCACCAAATTTCTCCACACCTGA